TAATCAACAACATTTTCATTTTGATGACTAAGAAATTACACAGCAGATATGAATATTAACTTCCTTAATATTTACTAGTATGCTTATCCCAAAAAATTTGCTTTAGTATCAGCAAGAAAATAACAGATGTAGTGACTTCTGATCTTAGTATGACATTTATTGATTTTTCTGTTCCTTTCAGCTCAACAGCAATGGCTGCATCACCCTACAAGTAAAAACAAACTTGTTCCAGATCAAAAATACAGGTTATGAAATGAAACTTAGAGTGAACGCCAAGATCAGAGAAGAGGGAACAGGTTTGAGTACTAAACTAATGTCAGAGATAAAGCAATAAACATTGGTTTTCCATCACTTAAAAGGGTCAAAAAGGTGAGAGGGAGTGAGTTTTAGAAGCAAAGCAATTTCCAATAGTACTTACTCTTTCCTGCATATTTTCAGACCTAGTACTCACTGGAAATGGGACCAGTGAAATCACAGGAATTGTAACCAAACTCAAGTTTGTGAAAGTGGATTCACACTTTAGGCGAGGAATCCCCTTCTTTGGACAGGTAGAGTATACTACAGTTGACAAGTCAGTTAGGTGTCCAATTGAGCTTCAGTTCAGGGCACAGTTTGTATTCCAAACCTCACACAATGTCAGTGAATTACTAGGACCATATTCATGACACTTTTACAATACTTTCCTTAGTAAACATATGTATAAACATATGCTACAGTATTATGGGAATCCACATACTATTTTTTAGAAAAATTAGCTAATAAAGATGTTTTCATGCAATATGAGGTTGTTATTACGCCATACTGATTCTCCCAGGCATTTTAAAATAAGTATTCCATTATCTAGTCAAATTCCATAATTTTCTCAATATATGGTTGCCTATATCTCTGTTATCTGTTGTTCTATTTAGAAATAAATGATTAAGTGATTTTAATTTTAGACATAGAAATTACAATAAGGTGCATTTCATGGTTATTACTGTTATATTATTTTTATGTTTAAGGCATATATTTCAAGAAAAACATTTTAATATTAATTTTATTCATATTAATAGTTCTAGCAAGTTTTCACTTGTTGAATTTCTTTTAAAAAGAAAATTTTTTGTGTGGAGTTGTTACTTGGTATCAGGAGCAGAAAGGCAGTTTTGCAGTAAATATGAATTATTTTAGGCTTTGGTTTGGGAATTTTTTTTTAAGTTAGGACAGAAAAAGATCTTGTTTTCATAATACCTGCCTTACTGAGTATTCTCCACATAATATATCAAACAATTTTCTTTTTTAGGTGATTCTAGTGGATGGGAAAAATATGCCCATTCCCAATAAACTTATCTTCATTTCTGCAAATGAAGCAAATTATCTTTCCAATGCAACTACCAATGAACATGGTCTTGCACAGTTTTCAATCAATACTACCAACATCTTGGTTAACAAATTTTCTGTCACTGTAAGTATAAGAGGGAAAAAATCCGATGAGAAAGAGAAACCTTAGAAACAGTCATGTATTTAGAACTGAAGTACACACACTGTATTTTCAGAGACAGAAAAAGAAACTGTCCAATTATGAGATAAATGTGGGCATATAAAACTTCATTAGAAAAGACAAAAATAGTAAAAGAGATTCTGCAAAATGTCTCATCATATCAGTAGTGTTATCTATAAAATTCCTTTTACTTTTTTCACATCCATTTAGATATTTTTAAGTGATCAAAACAACATATACATATAACCACTTACTATATATTGCCTGATGATGATGATTCAAAGATTTCTATAACTAAAAAGATTTCATGCTAGTAATCTCATGCAAAGATGTGGTTTTTAAAAGATAATCATTTATTGACTCCAACTTATATAAATGGCCTGGTATTCTGACCAAGTACTCCAACTGTACAAATAAATTATTTCCACATCCCAATGTTCACCTATTAAATCGACTGAAAAATATTTATGTTTTTGTTTTTGTTTTGCTTAATGTTCTTTTATGTGATAGATAGCTGGTATTTCCTAGGATTGAAAAGACAATCCTGAAAAATATTGTCCCTATATTGGAAGGCTCCTATACTCATAGAGATAATGTAACTAAATTACTAGTGTGATATATTTAAGAGCAATAATTTAAAAATGGAAGTTTATTATGAGAGCAAATAGAGAGATCCAGAAAATGCACCTTGTAAATTCAGGGGGAAAAGAATATAGCACCTGGAAAGAGCTCTAAGGAGCAACTACTGCAAGATAAAGGAAGGGAATCATTTGGTAAATGACACCAGCAAGGTTTTAAGGTCTGGAAAATATCAGCTTTAAAAACTAGAATTCACACTAATGATAAAGTATAATTATTAATTTGCTGAAGATTATTTTTAAAGTGTTGAGACCAATAGCGTAGTAAAATGTTACATTTACATATAAATAACATAACTTAAACAACTCTGTTTCTCTGCAAAGCAGAGAAAAAGTCAAGTTAGAGACTTAGCAGAATCAGGGCAAAGGAGGTAACTTTGCACAATTGCCCTTTAACCTCTGTGGTTTGAGAAGCTGACAAATTGTTTAATTGGTGGTCAACAGGAATGAAAGTGGTGACAGAGTATGTCAGCATGGAAGACACATTTAACTATTTATTGGGAAACTGAAGAAAAAGTCAGGACAACCTTGATTCTTCGTTTTTCCTTTTTATCAGGCTTACCTCCAGCAACCTAACTTCTGTTTTAACTATGTATGGGTAAGAGAAGAACACCTGCAAGCGCAGCACTATGCAAGAAATGTTTTTTCTTTGAGTGGGAGCTATGTTCACCTGGAACTCATAATTGGCACCCTACCCTGTGGCCAAATACAGACTATCAAGGCAAACTATATACTCAATGGGCAGGCCACTGGAGAGCTAACAGAGCTCACTTTCTATTACCTGGTAAGAACAAGGCCATGAAATTCATCTGAAGTTTATCTATAGACAAAAGCAGTTAACGGAACAGAGCATGTAGAAATTATCTGTGCACAGCCATCTTGCTTTCTCATCTATGTTCTCCTTGGTTTTCTGATTCATGAGGCTAATTCTCTCCAACAGTGACTCAATAACCAAGAGTCGGTTTCGTAGTGAATTAAGAAGTTGAGAATCATGACAGGCTCAAGAAAAGTTCCTTTTTTGTTGGTTTTTCCTTCCAGATCATGGCTAAGGGAGGCATCGTCAGATCAGGAACACATGTTCTGCCTGTAGAGCCAGGAGACAGTGAGTATACTCAAGTCCATGTGCCCAATTCTTCCAAAACACACATCCTTACACTTCAGTGAGAGATACCATATGGAGGCATTATTTTCATTATCCCTTTGCGATAAGAAGGAAAACACAAAAGAAAGAAAAATCATCTTTATGACTCCTTGACAAATTTTTACTCAACAGCAATCAAATCAATCTGATTCCCTACCATGTGGCAGGCATTTTGCTATGTACAATGTATTTTTCACTTTAGTTGGTCACTATGTCTGAAATTAAAATTTAAAAACCTATTAAAATCTAAATGCTCCTTTATATCTTACCCTAACAATAAATGTATATTGACCATGTTTAATCAGGATTGCAAAGAAGAAAGTTAATTAACTCAGAAAATGGAGAGGGGAAAAGGTAGCAGGTCTTTTTTCTGTACCAGACTCTGGTGTAGAACTCACATTAGTCCCTTCAATATTTAACCAGGATGTGTGCTGTGCTGCAGGTACTTTACACATAAACTGGAGTGCATTCGTGAATAAACTGAGTTTTATTCTGTTTTAATTACATCCATATCAAGGGTTTAACCATTTAAAATAAAACTTATGAGTATTCTTATAATTAACCTAAACAAAGGCAGATATTTACTCAAACTCTGCCTTACCCCAGAGCTAAATTTAATGCTTAGGATTTGTTCCTGTATTTTCTCTTGATTTTTATGGTTCCTTTCCCTACCAGGCTGAAAAAATAAAACATCAACTGTGTGTTTATTTTCCAATATTAAGACAATATTGAAGGAGGTTTAATTTACAAGAAGCTACTAATTTGTGTTTTTTTAAACTTGATGTATCTTCAGTTTCAACACTCTGTTATTCTAAGGCACAGGAGCACAACCTCCTCAGGTGCAAACCCCACACCACACCCACACCGAGGCACACAAAGGACAGTCCTCCACCATAGTCCATTATACCTCCTCCCTAAGTGACCCCTCTCCACTCAGCCTCCCCCTCCCCCTCTTTGTTTTGTACTCTCAATCCCATGATCAGGCTTCTGGGTCTGTTGCTAGTTTGTTTGGTTTTATCTGATACTTTGTTTTCTTCCCCTGAGATCCCCATATAAGTGAAAGCATTCACTACTGTGCTTTTCCCTTGTAACTTACTTTGGTTAGCATTATCCCCTCCAGTTCTGTTCACATCATTTCAAATAATAAGAAATGAGCCTTTTTTTTTTTTAATAGCTGGGTAGTATTTCACTGTGTATATATCTGCCACTTGTCTAATTCACGCCTCTGCGCTAGGGCACTTAGGTTGTTCCCATAGCTTGGCTTTATAAGTAGCATTGCTGTGAATATAAGAGTGCATATTCCCTTCAAGTTAGTCTTTCTGTGCTCTTCAGTAATATTGCTGGGCCATAGGGTAGCTCTATTTGTAATAACTAAGAAACTTCCATTATGTTTTTTTTCTATAGGGGCTGGACCAATCTATATTCCCACCAATGGTGGGTTCTTTCTCTCTACATCCTTGCAAATACTTGTTCTTGGTCTCTTTGAAACAGGCCATTTCACAGGCATGAGGTGGTATTTTACTGTGGGTTTTATTTGCACTTCTCTGATGAGATGTGAGGATTAGCATCTTTTCATGTACCTGCTGGCCATCTGTATGTCTTCTTTAGGGAAGTGTCTATTTAGCTTTTCTGCCCATTTTCTGAATGAATTAACTCATTTTCTTTTTGTTCAATTATATAAATTCTTTATATATCTTAACTATCAATAACTTCTCAGTCTTTGGCTAAGATCAAGTGTAATATCTTCGATATCAATGCTTTTGTCAGATACATGATTTTCAAATGGCTTCTCCCTGAGTTGAGTTTACTGATAGTGTCTTTCACGTACAGAGCTATTTAGTTTGACATAGTTCCATTTCTTTATATTTACCTATGTTTCTCACTCTTTTTTAAATTGAGGCAATACTAGTTTGCAACACTGTTCATGTTTTGGAAGTATAGGATCTCCCCTTTCAGGTGTTACCACAGCACATCCACCCCCAAAGTAATGATAGTCCTCCACATAATCCATTGTGTTCACCTCCACTTTCTCATCTGTTGATTATAAACCCACAACTACATCACTGAGATCAATGTTCTGGAGTGTTTTCATCTATGTATATTATGGTTTCAGGCTTTACATTCATGCCTTAATCTATTTTGAGTAATTTTTTGTAATATTTAAGACAGTAATCTAGTTTCACTCTAACATGGTGCTATCCAGTTTTCCCAAGACCATTTGTTGAAGGATCTTCTTTTACCAATGCATACTCTTGGTTTCTTTGTAATAGGTCAGTTGATCTTGTAGGTATGGCTTTATTTCTGGGGTCTCAATTATATTCCATTACTTTGTATGTCTGGTTTTGTTCTAGTACCTTACTGTTTTAATAACTACATCTCTGTATTATAGTTTTGAGTCTAGGAGAATGATGCCATCATTTTTTTAAGCTCAGGACTGTTTTAACTATTCAAGGTCTTTCTTGGTTCCATAGAAATTAAATATTTGTTCTATTCCTTATTCATAAATATTTCTAATATTCAAATAGTGTTAGAGAATGTAATCTACTTTGTGCACCTTCAACCCACCTTATCCCCTATATTTCTGTTTTCTTATAATATTGTGAAATGTTAACACATTGATAAAAATAGATGATTATATTCACACTATCTGGTTTTTTCTTTTCTGTTATTTTAAATCTGTGCATCATTCATAAAAGTCAAAATATCTACATAGTAATATAATAGTTCATTAGTCATTTACTTCATAGAGACAGCACAATAATGTATAGTGCTGAAAGTAGCTGAGTCAGTAATGAAAAGGAATTTCTCTATGTAGTTAGTTAAATCACTATTATTTATAATAAAACTTTAAACCACACATTTTTATTATAATTGCTAATTTGTTCTTCACTGAAGAGTTACTTAAAGCCCTTGATCCTGTTAGATAAGAACTGACTTTGGCATAGCTAGTCTACAATCAACCTTTTTAATTGCCTCAGTTTACTTTACTCAAATTATTCTTATACTTTTTATACATTTTTATTGCAATTACTAATGTCAGAACTGTGAGTCTATCTGAATTTCAGATTCAGCTTTCATAATTTTCATTACTAAAGTGTCTGAAGAATTTTTTTTCAAAATTCTCTTCAAAAAAAGTCTGCTATAAGTTCTCTTTCTGGTTTTTGTAATATTTCTATCTATTCTTATCTTCTATGGTTAACTCAAGACACAGCAATACAAAGACTTACATTTCCTTTCTCTTCAGAAGGGGATTTATTTTCTTTTAGTGGTTATAGTTAAAACTCAATCCTCAAAAGACATAAAAACATGTATGTGTTGGTGGTTCCCATGAGCTGAGGAGAAAGAGAAAGGAGAAATTGTTGCTAAATGAGTATAAAGTTTCAGACTTCAAGATGAAGTTTTTGAGATCTGTGGATGTACTTAATACTACTGAATTGTACACTTAAAATGGTGTATGTACTTAATACTACTGAATTGTACACTTAAAATGGTGTATTTTATGTTACTTTTCAGCCCAATAAAAAGGCAAACACTTGAAAAAATTTAAATTCTGTAAATATAATTGTCTTATATCACACAAGTTACTGTTCTATATTTAAAGTGAAAATCACCTCTAGCCTGAAGCCTAAATAATAAAATGGTTTCCACTCATAAGTATCTTTCATATATGTGGCATACCTAATAACTTCCTTATTATATAATGTGCCCATCAGACTTTACAAAATGTCCTTATGTTAACATGTGTAATATTATATATGATTTGGTGTGTTTGTGTGTGTATGTGCGCACATGCAAAGTAATTTTGACCTATACCAATTCAAGTAAGTTTAGTCATTCATTAGGCAGAATATCAAGGGGAAAAGATGTATGTCTAAGGAACTTAAATGTATTCCACAAATAAAGCTGTAAAGAGAGCAACTAGCCTACTAATTTAGCCTACTAGCATGGCATTAAAGAAATTGTGTGATTAAACAGGGAGGCATAATTCTAAGCTGGGTAAGACCTAACAGCAGGGTTATGAGCCATAACCATTTTGTCTCATTCTCTCCTTGATGCAGTGAAAGGCAATTTTTCCTTTTCCTTCCCTGTGGAGTTAGACATTGCCCCCACAGCACGAATGTTCATCTTTACCATTTTACCAAATGGAGAAGTTGTGGGAGATTCACAGAGTTTTGAGATTGAAACCTGCCTACCCAACAAGGTGAGTGCCTTTAGCATAAAATCAGAAGACCACAAAAAAGTGGTTTGATAGGTGTCATCTCTTTTACCTTAGAGAAAACTGAGGTAGCCCACAGGTTCTCAGGAAGTTAGTAGTAGAGCCAAATCTCCAGGCACCCAGCAAACTACTTTTGCATTAGGCAAAAAACATAATTCAATCTTGTGTCCCTGTTGACCTCTTCCACTGAACCCATTGTGAGGCATACTAATGTAAAACTCGAAGGTTCCAAAAACCTCAAGCATAAGTACCTTATAATGCATCAGAAGTAAAGATGCGCTCTAAAAAACATTTCTATGTATCCCTTCTGTATCAGGTATCTCTTAGGACTAGGCTGACCTATCAACAGTAAAGACTTAAAAAGAGGTTCTTGACACTCCAAACTGAATGTGAGGATGGAACTGAAAATGTCTGTGACTGCAAGATCACAAAAGTAGAGGAAGTACTGGATGACCTTTCCTTCACTTCTCACAGGTGGACTTGAGCTTCAGTCCAGCACAGAGTCTCCCGGCCTCACATGCCCACGTGCAAATCACAGCTTCTCCTCAGTCCCTCTGCGCCCTCCGTGCTGTGGACCAGAGTGTGCTGCTCATGAGTCCTGAGATGGAGCTTTCTGCAGCCTCGGTGCGTTCCATCACCCTTAGGGGGTAAAAAGTGTCAGGCAAGCATCTGGAAGCAAAGTCCTTGCTATGACAAAATATAATAAAAAATACTTACTGTTTGTCTACTTTTTTAAAATAATTTTCAAGTTCTATAACATCAAATAACATGTGTTATTTGATCTTCTCAACATCCAGTGATTAATAGCTCCAGTTTAAGAGGTGAAAACCAGGACTTAAAATATTTGCAATTTGTGCTAAATTACTCCGAAGGAGATAATTCTAAAATTTTGCTAGCTTTGATCTCTTCTATAGCTTCTAGTTCTCTAAAGACTCACATTTTTTTTAATTTTATATATATTTTAAAACATTCTTCCTTTTTGTACAATGTATGCTTTCTCCACCTCAGGTGCAGTGTCCATAAAATTCCCATCACCAATTCACCATCACCATGTGCTCTTTCCTTCCCTGTTTTGATCCCTCTCCCCTATTAATTTTGGTTTTTTAATTGATTATACTTATTTTTTTTCCTGATCTCTTATTTAGTTCCCCTACATTCCTCCTATAAGTGAAACCATCTGATTTTTTTTTCTTTTTCCTTCTGGTTTATTTCACTGAGCAGAATTCCTCCCAGCTCCATGCATGTTGCTATGAATGGCATGAGTCTGTCTTTTTTAATTTCAGAATCAACTTTTGAATTTATTTTAACTTCTATTTCATTATCTGTGCTTTGATTTTTATTATTTGCTTTCTTCTACTACCTTTTGAGGGGTTTTGTTGCTTTTTTTTTTCTGTTTTTTAAGTTGAGAGATCAGGTTCTTTGATTTCTTTCTTGTTTCGTGATGTGAGCCTATATTGTTATATACTTTCCTCTTACTACTGCTTTTGCTGTGTCTCATATGTTCTGGAGAATTGTGTCCTCATTGTCATAAATACCTCAAGGTATTTTTTAATTTCTTCTTTAATCTCCTCGCTGAACCAGTGGTCTTCTAGCAGTGTTGGTTTCAATCTCCATGAAGTAGGAAGGATCCTTGCTTTCTTTTCATGGCTTATTTCTAGTTTGATGCCTTGTGTCCTGGTATGTGATCAGTCCTAGAGAATGATACATGTCACTTGAGAAAAATGAGCACTCGAATTTTTTCGTCCTATAGGTATCTGTTAAGCCCATAGGTCTAAGTCCTTATTTAGGGCTCTAACATTGCTTATTTTCTGTCCTGTTGGTCTGTCCATTGGTGAGAGCGGTATATTGAAGTCTCCTCCTGTATTTATTGTTTTTCTAGCATCTGTCTTTGGAATCACAGTTAAACTTCTATTACTCATGCTTTATAATGCTCTTAATGCGAGCTAATTTTTTTTTAATATTCACTGATGGTCATGTATAAAAAAGAAATGAAATAGTTGCCAAAATATTAGATAATATGGTCCTACCTAAATAAAATTATTTTGACCCACAGAATAACTTGAATAAAGTTAACACAAACATAAGTCATGTACTTTCCAATGGATCTAGCTAGTTACGATTCTACTCCTTCAGATCTATGAAAGTCACTAAGTGACCCACAATTTTTTTCTGTAATTATTTTTTAGATTGTGATTATCACCAGTTTTCAAACTTCATATGATTTAGGAGAATAGGGTCACACCTTTTCAGATGTTACCACACAATACCCATCACCAAAGCACCCAAAAGCACCTGTCTGCCATGCCTCTCCTGCATTTGCTCCATATCCCCTTTTCCCCTGATAATAACCTCAACTCTACAGTCATATTTATGGTGCTTTTTTTGGTTTCATTCCGTCTGTTCCTTTGTTTTGTTTCTTTGTATTCTACATAAGTGAAATCATCTGGAATTTGTCTTTTACCTTCTGATTGGTTTCTCTTAGCACAAACTCCTCCAGTTTCCTCCACGGTGCCACTAATGGCAGATTTCAAGTCTTTTTATAGATGACAGTAGCATTTCATTAATATGCTATTTTCAGTTTTTTTTTTAATGATGTTTTTGTCAGCAATGATGATTCAGAGGCTAAAATTTCAAGTCTCTGCTTTTTTCTAGAAGTATATTAATTCACAGTGATAGTATTTGACATGTCATGCTAATTTTAATTACCATCATCATTATCACTATAAACACAGTATTGCTAGGTCTGTTGCTGTAAGGAAATACAGATCTCAGTTCATCAGATATTTTAGATGAAAAACAGTAAGCGTTTCCTTGTTATCACCATTGTTATCTAGGTATATAATCTGCTAACAGTAAAGGATCTCACTGATTTCCCTGAAAACGTGAAGCAAGAAGAAGCAGCAGCAAGTTGTACTTCTCATCGTAATCTGATTCATAAAGGAGCTGTCTATGTTCCCTTACCAAATCATGAAGAAAGTGATGTGTATAGCTTCCTGAAGGTAAAATTGTTATTATTTATTAACATACTGGATTATGCATGTTTGAATGTTAGCATTCAATGTAATGTAATGTTAACATCACATATAAATAATTTTTAGAAATTGTTTGGCTTCCCAACTAGTATGTCAGAAACAGAGCTAGACCTAACCTCTACCATTTCATTCTGACATCTTAGTTATATATATTTTTAACATAGTTCATAAATTCTACTCAATTTTACTAATTTATTAAGTCATCCTTTTTTCAGGGTATGGGATTAAAAGTATTCACCAACTCTAAGATCCGGAAACCAAAGTCATGTTCGGTGATGTACACACCCCAACCAGGAGGAATGGCTCTAATGTATGATGGTAAAGAACAAGTTGCTTTTAATTGTCACATCCAACAATATTACTTTGTAATAAAAGGTGAAATAAGATAGGTAATGTGGCCCTATCTCATTTGATACACACAGAAAACAAGATTCAGGTAGTTTCTGCTGAGGTAATATAGCTGGTAAAAGTACAGGAGAGCCAGAAGTGATCACAGTTTTATTTTATTAGTTTAGTCAGCTACTCCAAGGAATAAACACCAGTGCAAGATTCTAATGTGCTAAGAGAGGGAAAAAATTACAAATAGAAGAATAATTCTAAGTATGGAATCATAAAAGATTTATAAGTGTTGTATTTTAAAGGGGATAAAAAGGACTCAGAGGTGAAAAGTTGAAATATCTCATAATCCAGAGCCAAAAAAAAAATGAAAATGAAATATCAAATAAAAGAAATTTTTAGACCCTTCAAATTCCCATGAAGATACTGATAGTATCCACAGTTCTTAACACTTGCAACCTACTACTTAGCTCTTTCTCTCATTCTCTCTCATGATTATCTTTTACTCCAAAAAATTCTTGATGCCCATCTGTGATAAACAGTAACATCTTTGGAACTTGGTTTACAAATACAAGTCCTCTGTGTAAGTGAGCACATCATATCTCTTCTCTAAGTCTCAAATTCTTCATTGATAAATTGAAGTAGTGTGATGAAAGGCTCTACAATTCCTTTCAAAATACCAAATAAAAAGCCTAAGTATAATGTATCGAAACTAAAAATTTAAATTGTTTGAAAGTTAAATAATTTTTCATTTTTAACCATGAAATTTTGGGGACAAAAAAAACTTTCTGAAGCTTGGTAAACATCAACTTTCAGAAATATCATATAACTCAAAATAAATAATTTCTAAGATGTGAGATGGATGAATATACAAAGGGGATTAAAATGGGTACATAAGTAGACGGAAATGACTCAAGAATTTATAAAGCAATAAAAAGAGCTGAAAAAACTAAAATATTTTGTGAAACATCTATAAAATAATTTGAAGAACAAAAATCCACTCCACAATCGTTTGGAAATTTAGCATAAAATTTCAAAATGTTTAATGGCACTGAAAAAATATATATAGTGAATACTTTCTAGTATCCCTACAATGAGAGAAAGTAATGTAAAAAAAAGAACTAAAAATCACACTGGACAAGGATAGAAATGATAGTGCCTGAAACACTAAAAATTAATATGTTACAAATATGAAAGCTTCTGGACATATAGAGCAAATTAAAATCTTCAACTTTGTAACATTTATGTCCCAATGGATATAGAGCATAAGAAAATAAGGGAGTAAATGAGAAAATAAGGAAGTATACAGTTTATTATAAGTGATAAATGCTATGGAGAAAACTGAAACAGAGAATGAGAAACTGCAAGTTAAATAGAATGTTTTATGAAAAATGAAATTTGAGCTAAGATTTGAAGGAATATAACTAACTATATGACTATCTGGAAAAACAGAAATAACAGTCATTGTAAGCAACACTAATAACAGAGAATTACCATGTGTCACAAGACTGATAAGAGGTAGGTAATTGATAGTTGGAGAGAGAGAGAGAGACAGAGATATCCTTAATTCTTGTAAGTAACATTATGGGGTATATATGTATTTTTATCACTATTTTTCTGTATTTTTGTCTATTTCTTTAATTTGTTTTTTCCAGCTTGAGATATAACTATCATATAACACTGTAAGTTTGAGGTATACAATGTGTTGATTTAACATACTTGTAAACTGTAAAAAGATTACTTTTGTGTCATTAACACCTCTAAATCTTCATTTACATATTTTTGTAGTTATCATCACTTTTCAAATAGAAACTACTGACTCACACATGCACCAAAAAATAAATAGATGCCTTTTTCTTTAATTGGATTGTTATTTTCTTTTATTTTATTCATTTCAGTAGGACAATTCAGCCCCCAATATGACTCATTTGATGGGGTAACTAGACCTCATAATATACAAAGTCCAGAGCCAGTAACTGAAACAATAAGGAATTACTTTCCTGAGACCTGGATCTGGGAGTTAGTGGTGGTAGAGTAAGTAACTCACTCTTCTCTTTGTGTTGCGGGTGAGGAAGTATTGATCTTTAGTATTTTTCAACTTTAAAGTAATCTTTCTAGATAGTTAAATAATTGTCTTACCCTTTCAGGAGTTATGTGTCTAAAATAGTTTCACTATACAAGTTTATTTGTCTAACTGAAAACTCTAGAATAAGTATTTCTGAGACTGGCAGAAAATAGACATAGAACCTAAAAGCATGCAAATACTCTCTGCTTAGTACCATTCAAGGAGCCTCCCATTAAAAAATTGGAACACACACATACATAAGACAACAAAAATGTAGTCTAGTTGTTGGATCATGGTTCTTAAATGCATTTGTTTATGGGATTATACAAGTACAGTTTAAGTACCAAACTGAATCCTAAATTCAAATATTTCTATTTAAGTTGCATGTGTAGTATTGTGATAGGTTGATAAGGGAAAGCAATACCATTTAGGGTCTTTCATTTTCGCAACTTAGTCCCCGAAACATAGACAAGTGTGTTTGTGCATAAACCCTTAAGTGGATTCAGTTCAAACACTCTCACATGAGAAACCATGTTTCAGCTGTAAGATGCTCTTCACCTTGTCCCTCCCCAGCTCATCAGGTGTGGCTGAAGTAGGAGTAACAGTCCCTGATACCATCACAGAGTGGAAGGCAGGAGCCTTCTGCCTGTCCAAGGACACTGGACTTGGTCTCTCTCCTCCCGCCTCTCTCCGAGTCTTCCAGCCTTTCTTTGTGGAGCTCACATTGCCCTACTCTGTGGTCCGTGGAGAGGCCTTCACCCTCAAGGCCTCTGTCCTAAACTACCTGTCCACATGCATCCAGGTAAGGAAAATCAGGGTGATCTGAAAGGGTGGAATGAAATATTCCTTTGGTCTGTCAGCTCCTGATTTTGCTTCCAAGACCATGGATAATCCTGTCAATTATGTGCTAGCACTGCAGTAAATCATGCAAAACAAGGCAGGACATGATCAAAGGGATAACAATGATATTTTCAACTCATATAGCTACTTTGTTTTTATTTCCTGAAACATGTACAATTCTCTGCCACAAGATAGGCTTTTTGACAGGAAAATTACTGAATCCTGACACAAAACTCAGTTTTCTTAATTCCATGAGTGTCAACCATTAAGTCCTTGTCTTTAAACTCCCATGGAACACATATATCTTGTTTTATAACACTTATCTCTTTGTAAATGAAGTCATAATTTTGAGTAAATATTATCACCTTTTTAATACAATACCCTCAGGTCAGTAAATTGCTTATGTACCCTTGAAAATTTGTTATGTTTTCACAGAGTAACATGCAATATGCTGGAGGAAGTGGGTAAGGGATAAGAGAAGTCAGAAAAAGTCTCCAGAGGAGATAGAACCAACAGACAGGAACCCAGACGTAGTGCTCTCAGGCTCAACAAACCACTGCTTTTTCCTGCCTTCCACATTACCATGTTGGTTTATTTCTCCAGTTTACCCCGAATCAAATGCCATATTTCCATTATTGCCATTTTCATGCTTCCCAAAACATGCATGGACTTACCTGTCCTACTTTACCTCCCCAAATCCTTATATACTGTGGCACCTCATACTCAGCGCCTGTCCCATGCAACCATTCTCTCTCATATTCTGATTATTTGTGTCTATGCCCCACTTGTGGGCAACAGGTCCACGTGCATCTGGAAGCTTCTCCTGCCTTCCTAGCATCCCAAAACCAAAAGGGGGAGGAATCTGATCGTGTCTGTGCAAATGAGCAGCAAACCTTGTCTTGGACAGTAACTCCGAAAACTCTGGGTGAGTGACAGGACTCCCAAATTTCCGAATCAGCGTGGGCGTGAAACTGAACAACGTGTCCATTATGTTCTCTAGTTTGTTTCACACATGTTATTTTATTAAATGACTTTAAATTCCTATCCATATTCGCCCCTTCTACTACTCCCACCATACCTGAGCCTCAAAACCACTATGCTCAAAGACTGGTTATTCAAGGTATGTACATTAGTCTTGGATTTGAGTTGGTTGTTTTGTTTTATTTTTTCCCAACTTTATTTCCTATTCCAGCCAGCTGTCAGGTCAAAGTGCCTGACAGTTCTTCAAGCAGATTAGCAAGCAGACAGTCATTTTTAGGAAGGAGGGATAGCATGACAACTACCAAGACTGATACTCTCTTTCCTACTTTCTTTACTTTAGGGAGTGTCAACTTCTCAGTGAGTGCAGAGGCCGTTCAGTCCTCAGGGATGCATGGAAATGAGATTGCTGAGGTCCCTGAGATAGGGAGGAAAGACACAGTCACCAAAACCCTATTGGTGGAGGTCAGTCTGAACTCCTTGACATTTTTGCTGAATTCCTAACAAGAGTAATAATAAAAGTGGGCGGCCATTCTTGATATAGCGTAAGATAATTTCACTTGCATCTGGTAAGACTAATGGAATTCCCTATCCTAAAAGTATTATAGGAAACTTCGCTGTCTCACTTTGTCTTTCCCAATTATAAATGTTTTCTGTACAAGTTATTTTAGAAATATGCCCTTTTTTTGATGCCCACCTCTCTTCTAAGAGGCGCATATTTCTCACACCTTTTACCTTTGATTCCTTGCCTTTATTTTCCCCCATTTTCTCCTTTGCCAATCTCTCTGGCTCATCAATGTCATCAAGATTTATAATAACTTGATAGTAAGATGTTAAGCAGCATTTAGCATAACCCTTGCCCTTCAAAGTAAGGAATGTTTATGATTGTCCTTCCATCACCTGGGTATTTATCCCTTTTCTCCTTTTCTTCCTTTTCACCAAGCCTGAAGGCATTGAGCAGGAGAAGACTTTCACCTCTATGACCTGTGCTTCAGGTGAGACTCCATTTTCATAATCACAGTGAGAAACTCTGAGATATCCACACCACAGGTTACAAGGCATACCCGTGCATATTATCTACCATAATTTTCATATGGTTTCAATAAATCTGGTATAATATCAAGGATTTCTTTATCCCCATTTTACAGCTGAGGACACTAAGTCCAAACAAATGTGTTCATGTGGCTTGGGTTACAGACAAAACTAATACTGAGGCTTGCCTGGGTCACATCTCCCCTCCCAGTCAGAGCCCAGGGACTCCTCAGTAGCCAAGGGGACGCAGCTTGAAGTGTCTACAGCACTAGCTAGAAAGAAAGCAAAGTCATGAGCCACTGGAATCACAGCACACTTCAGTAAAACAGATGATGAAGATGATGAAACATACAGCACTTTGTACTTACTAAAAACAAGATTTCCATGGGCAAAAAAAAAAACCTACTCACATGGGATCATCATCATATCACTAAGAGCAAAAACTCTGATAACTCTGAAGACACACTTACACAAGAGTATCAGCTCTGTGTCCACAATGTAAATGACTCTGTGTCATTTGAGAGGACTGGTTTAAGGTACATTGATGTTCTCTTATTACAACATGGAACCTATTCAAATGTCTAGATGAAGTGAAGAAGTGAAAGAACCTACATTCTGATGAGCATAAGCCTTAATAATATTAAAGTTAAATCAGAGACTGCAGAACCTCAACCAGTTGCTTGTTTCCTTTTAGACTGCTACTGTGTGTGGCAACATAAAACATGGCAAAGTGAGACAGGAAAGGGTTCTGGGATTGCAAAGTTCTGAGAGAATGTTACTGTTAAAGATAATCTCATCATAATTCAGTATTCTTATTCCTTAGCCCTAAGTGCTAAACATAATAACATCTCATGTGTTGAGGTCTAATATGTTGCAGGTACTGTTCTAATATATATATTTTACATGAATTATTTCACTAAATAATTGTATTAGCAAGGACTATGAAGAGATTAAGTAACTTCCCCAAGTTTCATAGCTGGTGAGTAGCAGCGACACTATCCTATCACACGTAGGCAGCGTGGCTCTGCAGCCCACATCTAACCAGACATTATATTGCTGTAACAGGCACCAGTCTTTAATGTGGATTCCTGTTTCTGAAGGTACTGAAATATCTGAGCAGTTATCCCTGAAGCTCCCACCAAATGTGGTGAAAGAATCTGCCAGAGCATCTTTCTCAGTTTTAGGTGAGTCATCTTACACTTAGAAAACCTGGAACTGAGGCCTCCCTAGTGGCTCAGAGGTTAAAGTCTCAGCACCATGTAGCTATCAGCAGCCACTGCAGCACCAGTTTGGCCTTGGCCAGGGAGCTGACCCTCAGGGCATAGCAGACCTCTCCTGTCTCCCCTGCAGCTCCCCTCAGCAGTGTCAGGAGATCCTGTTCTACTGCCTACTCTGTCTCTGGTGGGTCCTCTCATTCCTGCACCTCGGGCCTATATTCCAGTTCATCTGTGCATCAATATATATATTTTTTTAATAGGGGGAAAAAGAAAACCTGGTACAAAGAGCTGCCATCATGCATTGTGTGTGTGTGTGTGTGTGTGTGTGTGTGTTCTAAATACCAACTTACTAATACCATCTATTTTTATTAGGACTCTGGAAGGCTTACTCTCGATAAATGTGAATTTTCTTTTGTTTAAATGTGAACTCTAAAAATGAAAATCATCTGTCTTTAATAGTGCTGGCTACTTGTGAAACGACTCTTCACCACTCTCTATCATTCCCCAGGTGACATACTAGGTACTGCTATGCAAAATACTCAGAATCTCCTCCAGATGCCCTATGGTTGTGGAGAACAAAATATGGCTCTATTTGCTCCTAATATCTATGTCCTGAATTATCTGAATGAAACACAACAGCTGACTCCCGAGATTAAGTCAAGGGCTACTTACTATCTCGTTAGTGGTAAGTTGAGACCAAGAAAAGTTTGTTTTAAAGAGATATCTGCAAATTAAGTTTGAGTTATATAATCAAATATTAGGCTAATGGAGGTGATTTTCCCATCATCTAACGAGATGCTGTGTTTTGAAATATCCATACAACCTTGGCAAATCTTAAACACCGTAAAGCGTCAGCAGCCCCCAGCTCTCGTTTTACAGCCCCACCCCACCTCTTGAACTACCTGAACGGCTCATTACAGGTTACCAAAGACAGCTGAACTACAAACACCAAGATGGGTCCTACAGCACCTTTGGGGAGCGATATGGCAGGAATGAAGGCAACACCTGGTAAGAAAATCTGCTCTAAATTTCAATTATGACATCAAAATGTGTACAAATAGTTTGTTTTACTCTTACAAAAATCCTTGCAATGAGAACCATTAATTTTATTTGCATAAAGAAAATTACATTTCAGGGTGGAGACACAAATGTCTCTGGTATAAAAAACTAGTAAGTATTGATCCCTCTCCCTCCTCCTCCCCCGCAGAATGTCTCTTATTTATAGTTGTCTGTTTATTTTTGTTTTGTTTTGTTATTTTTTATTGTTATTATTTTTTTCCCTAATGCTTTATTTGGTTCCCCTAGAGCACTAGGGGCTGTGGTGAAGGTGCAGGGATGAACTGGTGGTAGAAATTCTATGGGGACTACACCTGAGAAAAGAAAGCAAGCACTGTTAAAAAGAAGAAGAAGAACGAGTAAAATATGTATGAATTAATTGAGAAAAAAATAAGTAGCAGATCTGAGAATCTGAGAACACTCTGAAGCTGATTCTCTTTGTATCCAATACACCAAGTCTCTCTTCTTTCTCATTTTGTAGGGGACTATAATAAGTTCGTAATTTGCCCACTTATGTTGTTGCTCAGCACCAAGAGATGCTAACAACTGCCTAGAAAAATGACAGCCATTACTCACAGAGTACATTTTACAACTTTCTACTAGATGACTCTGTACCCATGTATCCATCCATCCACCCGTCTATTTATAGTCTATCCTTTCATATAAACAGCTGTCCAGTCATCTATCTACCTACCTATCTTAATTTTTTATTGGAAAACAAGAGAAATCAATGAACTACAAAGTGATGGAGAGGCAGAATGATGTTGAAGAAACCATTTACTGAATGAAGCAGGACATTAAAAGAAGTCAGTCTATTAGTGTATTCACTGCGGAAGTAAAGGTTAGAAGTCTGTGAAGAGGAATAAATACAGAGTGTCCATAATGTGAGAGCAGATATCATAATTAACCTCTTATGGAAACTATGAAGAACCTGAATTCCTAAAATAATGTACAAATGCATAATGTACAAAGGACCAGTAGCAATGCACTTAACATGTTATTATAAATAAATGTGACTATTGATGCTGCCAGGTTAACAGTTAACTGACTCATGAGTGTGATTTAGGCAGAGAGGGAGTCTATGTGTGCACACTCTGTTTAAGGTGTGGCCAGAAATAAAGGTTTCATACCCACTCTGCCTCAACCCACAGGCTCACAGCTTTTGTACTGAAGACTTTTGCTCAGGCTCGATCTTACATCTTCATTGATGAAGCACACATCACCCAAGCCCTCACCTGGCTCTCCCAGAAGCAGAAGGGCAATGGCTGTTTCCAGAGCTCTGGGTCACTGCTCAACAATGCCATTAAGGTGAGTTGTTCTGAGTACTCCTCCTGAATCTCATAATACAACAGTTTAAAATCTGTCTCAGAGAAAGGAGGAGAAGAAATTTCAAAGATGAATTCCTAGATAAGGTCAGAGGGCCTCAGGGAAGGCGTGTTAAGCCTGAAAATTATGCACCTGAAGTGGTGCTATGATGAGGATGGTAACTTGCTTGACAGAGAGATACTAAACATAGCTGCCATAGGCCAGACAAGAATATATGAAAAAATGAATGTAGAATTAATCAACATCAATTTCCTCTCCCCCCCCCCACCCCTTCTCTACAGGGAGGAGTAGAAGATGAAGTGACTCTCTCTGCATATATCACTATTGCTCTTCTGGAGATTCCTCTGCCACTCACTGTAAGATCCACCCCACTGACAATCCATATCATAAAGCCAGACCCCCTCTGAGATACCTCACTACCAAAAGCCAAGTGTCAACTTTCCTGCTCTGCAATGAGGCATTTCTCAAATAGATAAGTTCTTTGATCAATCCATTAAATGGAACTTATACTTGTCCAGTAACGGTCTTGAATTATGTGTCAAAATTAGTCCAAAAACACAACTTCTCCAGCCCTATTCTGTAATACTTAACTATAAAGATTTAAAATTGCTCTCTACCCAAATACAGTGGATAGCTACATGCTGGCTGAACCAAGACTAACATCTACAAAGCTCAGGGCTTCCGTGACACCCAGGTCAGGGCCTTCTCCATCCTCCATTGGGCACCCCTCTCTGTCTTTCCAGCACCCTACTGTTCGCAACGCCCTCTTCTGCCTGGAGTCTGCTTGGAACACAACAAAGGAGGGGTCCCAAGTGAGCCACAGCTACACCAAGGCATTGCTGGCCTATGCTTTCGCCCTAGTGGGAAACCAAGATGGCAGGAGGAGAGAGATACTGAACTCTCTTGATAAAGAAGCTGTGAAAGAAGGTGAGCACCTTCTAATGCTGGTTCTGTAAAAAGAAGAGGAAGTGTATGTAAGTGACACAGTTCATCTAAAACTCCATAGACAAGTCATGTATTGTGAGACCAGAGACCCACTTGCACAAATACGTTCTCTGGGATTTCATATGTTAAATTAAGTGTAGTATCACAGACATGAATGTGCAGGAAACTGGAATTTTACTCCCATATTTTTTTCACATGATACCTACCTACATACATGAATTTAAAAAAATGATACAATAAAAAGTCACACTAAAGGAAGTATAAGAACATTTTCAAAGAATTTTTATTGCTATTTATCAAAATGATTACCACATAAGTTCTCTGAAATCAATAAATGATTTCATATTGCAACTGATACTCAATTCTTTCTCCAAGTTTATCAGAGGAATATAAATTAGTGAATTTAGAGTATGAGAAAGAAAGATGCTTACCTCATCTTTTTGTTTTTGAATCTCATTACCCATATTCACTTATTATCTACCAGTAGTCCTAATTCTACTTTTTCTCACCCATAGCCAACTCTGTCCACTGGGAGCGACCTCAGAAACCCAGGGCACCAGTGGAGCCTTTTTACCAACCCCAGGCTCCCTCTGCTGAGGTGGAGATGACGTCCTACGTGCTCCTTGCTTACCTCACAGCCCGGCCTGCCCCAACCTCTGAGGAGCTGACTACTGCCACCAGCATCGTCAAGTGGATCACAAAGCAACAGAATTCCCTTGGGGGCTTCTCCTCCACCCAGGTCTGTGGTTCCCAAATTGGTCAATGAGAGAAGTGAAAAAGTAGGAAAGAAGACAAGTTTTCACATCTTAGAAGAGATCTTGAGAAAAGTGGTCATATGAAGGAAAGCAATTCAAGACATTTCTCAAAAATAGTTTTCACTACACTTTGATAACATCTTATCCACTTGGCTACCTCATAAATATAATTCCCCTCCAAAGGTGAATTATATTAGAAGCACATATTGGTCATTTGCCACACTTTTTTCATTTTTTAAAATTGAATTATTTCACTGACGTAAAATTTTTCTTTTTTTTGTTTTCTTGCATTATTTTATGTATTTTTAGGTGAGCATCACTGAAAATCAAAAATTGTATACATGACATCAAGCTCACCACTAAAGTCCAATTCTATCCTTTACCCACAACTGTCCCTTTTTACCCTATTTACCCAATCACCTCCAACCCCTACTGGTAAGCACTAATTAGTCTAAAAGTTTATTTTTGTTTTATTTAGTTCATCCACTTGTTTTCTCTATTTACCACATGAGTGAAATCATACACGTTTGTCTTTCTCCACCAGACATAGCAAATGCTCTCTAGCTTCAACCATGTTGTTGCAAATGGGAGGATTTCATCTTTTTTTAATACAAGTAGTATTCCATTGTGTGTACACACATGTCCTTCACCCATTTGCGTGTAATGTCTGCATGTCTACCGCCATACCATACTGATTGAACCCAATCTTGTCTGATCTGGGAAACCAAGCAACATCAGGCTGGTTGAGCCCACACTCGTGATGAGACTTTGGAACTATCAGTACCACTGACACTTTGGGTCAGATAATCACTGCTTTGGGGCTCCAACCTGGCCATTGTAAGATGTTTTGCAGTATCTCTGGTGTTTCCCCACCAGATGCCAGCATCAACTCACTCCCAATGGAGAAAGACAAATGTGCCCCTGTTTGAGAACCAGTGTTCTAGACTGCAATTTTAGAATCCTACAAGAATTCCTCTAAGATAAAGCAAAAAGGTTTACCTGATTAAAAGGAAATTAACCAAGCAGAACTTACTTTGACTTTCATAGAATGAAGAGTTCATTTACATATTCCAATGAACTCATCTGCTCTACTCCTTTCTACTCCTTCTTGAAATTCATTTTTTTAAAGCTGAAGTTCTTGAAATTTTTTTCCTCTCAGAATTCTGGAAATATTTTACTGAGGATGTGATTGTACTAAACATCCAGAGAATCTGGGTTTTCCCCTCCTAGACATTCTCCTCCAACATTTACCATGTCCATAAATTTTTATTTTTCAGAGATACTAGGTGAGAAAAACAGTAACATACTACATAAAGTGAAAAAGAAATTTGGGAAAGTTCAACTTGTATTATTCAAAGTTAATTTCTCCCTTCCATCTAAATAATCATCTAGCTAACAATAGTCACTGATTTTGTCTTAATTTTAGACCTAGTCTTTAAAAGATATAACCAATAGGAAATTTGATACGAAAGAGCAGCCACAACTTTTAGGGAGAGAAAGCAGTCCTTTAGGACAATACCAATGCAGATGAAAATAAACTGCAAGGCTTATCAGCATCATTAACATTTTATTTCAATTGAAGAAATTATAGCAACTCTTTGATTATGCCTAAAAGGTAGGAAAAAAAGAAAAAGCAATTAGCAGATGTATACTTGTGTGAAATACTTGTCTCTTTGTAGCAGCCAACACAGATTTGAGGGGAATCCCAGCTACCTAAACTTAAGCTTTGTGGGGCTCACCACGCATCTTTTGCAGGACACAATGGTGGCTCTCCACGCCCTGTCCAGATACGGAGCAGCCACTTTCACCAAATCTGGAAAAACAGCACAGGTGACCATTCAGAATTCACGGACCTTTTCTACCAATTTCAATGTAGACGACAACAACCTCCTGTTACTACAGCAGGTCTCATTACCAGAGCTGCCAGGAGAATATGCCATAACAGTGACTGGGGAAAGGTGTGTGTATATTCAGGTGAGACTCTGGAATCACATTAGAATAATCCATTTAACTTTTCCTACTGAAAGAGAAACTCTGTTCTTTCCTTCGTTGGCATCTAGAAGGCAAATCTGAAGAAGTTAAGTGATGAAAAGTGAGGGGTCCCAAGAAAAGAGAAACTAATGGTGACTTTGGTGTTCCACAGACATCTATGAAATATAATGTTCTTCCAGAGAGGGAAGATTCTCCATTTGTTCTGGAGGTACAGACTCTGCCCCGAACTTGTGATGGACCCAAAGCTCATACCCGCTTCCAGATCTCACTGAACATCAGGTAAAACCTTCTAACTAAATTGTCTAATCCATAGTGTAAAAGGTACCTGAAGGCATTTGTAATTAGTAAGAATTCTAGAAGCTAGTCTATTACATGAGTAAAATTGATACATCTACAAGTGAATTTAAATATCTCTTATGAAGTGATCCTTTTCACTAGTAATTTTTTTTTCTTTTTCACTAGTAATTTTCTTTGCTTAAAGTTTAGTATGATTTAAAGGCATTTAAAATCTAAGTCTTATCTAAAATCTGCCAAATAAAAAAATATATGGACTATTCAATATTCCCAATGAATTCCTAATTTTACGTTAATTTTTGTTCAACTCTTTGCTAAGGAATAAATTATATTTCTCAAAGATTTGTGCTTCAGGTTGAAGTATCTTCCTTACCTCTTCTGAATAATTACATTCTGTTTTATTCTTTTTCAAATCAAATAGATAAATTAAAATGCTAGCATTAAATACAAAGGATAAATTAAATATAAAATCTAGAGATTGCCCTATCATATCCATCAGTAACTTTACGAAACAAAGCAAACTGAAACAATCCTTAGGCTCAGACAGCACCATGGTGGTTACCAAAAAGAAAGGTAGTAGAGGTGTGGCAAACAGGAAAAGGGGGGGTGGAGGGCTATTAGAACTCTGGTGATAGGCATGTATGGTATAATACATTTAAAGAAATGCGAAGCTATACTCCTGAAACTTACCATGCTACCATAAATCAATCTTACTGTTATAAAATAAAATAAATAAAAAATTTTACAGGACTGATAAAAAACATAGCAATAAATGATACTGCTATGTATCAAATATAAATCATATTAATATTATAAAACATTTCATATTTCAGACAATAAATTCAATTTCTTAAAATCAATTTATTCAAAGAAAACTTGAGACTATCTGATCTCTACATTCAGGGACCTCTTTAGAGAAACATGCTCATTCAAATTAACTAAAAATAGAAAAGTAATAATACTAAATGACAAATGAACAATATAGATATGTTAAAAATGCAGGTTATCAAGTTCTACTCCCAAAGATCCTGATTCCATAGCTTGGCACTAGGACTTGAAATCTACAGCTTTGATGTATACTCAGGATTCCAAACATAAGCATCACACATATTCAGGGAACACAGAAATGTTCTAGTTATGTTGTTACGGAAAGTTCATGAAGATGAACTTTGGATATTGGTGGGTCTTGGTGATCTTAAAGGGAAAAAATCTGGCTGGCTTTTCTTCACATATTAAACCCTAACGCCTTTTTCTTTGACACTACAGTTACACAGGAAGCCGTGCTGTCTCCAACATGGTGATTGTTGATGTAAAAATGGTATCTGGTTTTATTCCCTTGAAACCAACAGTAAAAATGGTAGGTATATTTGAAGCCTAGAAACTCTCATATAAAAGTATGCTTTGCATCTTGAAACTGAGACAACACTAATATTTCAAGGCCCTATCAATAATATCAGTTCTACCTCAAAATATATTTTCCTCAAGCTCAGGAAATTAAATGGATTATACTTTACTCCATTCTCAGCACAGAAAGTCAGGTGCTCTGTTAAGACATGGCAACAGTGCAGTCTGTCTCTAAAATATGACTCCTTCCCCTTACTCATACTTTTATATCTAATGTGCCTGGGCGATTCAATCATGAATACGACTTGCAGGAATCCTAGTCTTCATATTATTTGGAGAATAAATTCCTGTCCCATCAACCTGCCTTGATTTTCAGTGTTCTCATAGCTGTTCTCTAACTTTCTGTGTTTTCATTAGCTTGAAAGATCCAGCCAGGTGAGCAGGACAGAAGTGAGCACCAACCATGTCCTCATTTATGTGGAACAGGTAAGAGCTCTAACATTTCAGATGAGATTATACACATTGGTGATCTTTCTAAATAAGTCTCTCCAGAAGAAAGGCAGTGATATTGGTGTCTTCAAGTAAATTCCTCTATTCTAAAAAGAATAAAAGAAAAATCTCCTTTTAAGTCCATGTGATATTACACTCAATTTTTAATTATGTTAACATTAGAATGAAATTTCAACTAGAAAATCAATTAAATCAAAGTTTTACCATATCTATCTTTCATTATTAAAAGAATAAATTTACTACAGAGACTGATTAATGATAGCATTTACATTCTGGTATATTACTATATAAAAAAGGATATAGAATTCATGACTATCTCCAAATCTGATTAGAAAGCAAAGGGAATATTTTATCTAATGACATCAAAGAATGTGTTGATACTATAACTACAAATATTACAAAGCTAATTCTGCATATTAAGAAATATTCACATAGGCCAAGAGTTCATCTGTATAGCAGACAAGAGACGATGTAGGGGATCTTTTTCATTGTAAAGCATTCCCAACCACATTCCGAAAGCCTATATGACATACAGAAATGTCTCTTCACCTAAAAGACAGACGCATAAGAGTCAGAGAACAATAAGGAATATATTTTACTCAAGAAGAGAGATTTCTGATCTCCTGATTACTCCCACTTTTTCTTTTAGGTGACAAATCAGACACTAAGCTTCTCCTTCATGGTTCTCCAAGACATCCCAGTAAGAGACCTAAAGCCAGCAATTGTTAAAGTCTATGATTACTATGAGACAGGTAAGTAAGAGAAAACTCAAACAAATAATCTTGCCCCAGAGTCAAGAAATAAATTCTATTGTGGTAATAAATTCTAGTTTTGGTCCATTCAATTTTTAATGTATTTTTTTAACATGATTCTTCATTTTGTACATTTTTTTCATCTTAGCTATAATCCCTGTGAACTTCCCACCACCAATTCACCCATGTGCCATCACCATAGTCCCTGTGTTCTCTTCCCACCCTAGTTTTGATCCTATTCTCTCTCCACTCCCGTAGCATGTCTCTGGTTTATAGTTGCTCATTGATTTTTGTTTTTACTTTATTACAATTGCTTTTTTCCCCCACTCCCTTGCACTCTTGCTATGAGCCATTCACTCAATTTTATACTTATTTCCTCCTACTATATACTACAGAAACTATCCATGGAACAAATATGTCACTATTTAGAATCAGAAACTTAATAATTTCAAAAGAAGGGTAATATCTGATCACTGCTCCCAAATAGTTTAGTGATGTGAGGCATATAACAGACATGCAGAGATAATGTAACCAGAAAAGGCAGTTAATGAGAAATGAGTGTTAGTGAGTTTAGAGAGAAGGAGTTGACTGGAGCTCAAGAAGGACCAAAAATGAAGAAAGATCTAAGTTAGATCCTGAAAAATGAATACAACTTTTAGATATATAGAAGTGAGAAGTGTTTCAGATTGAAACAACAATTTTTTTGAAGCACCAATTTTAGAAAAGGAAGGATATATGTATGCTGGACAATGTGAAGAGGAGTAGAGAGTTTGTGGAAGAGATATTGCAAGTTAATGCAACAAACATCATTACCTAAGATGTGAAAATATCTGACCAGGCTTCAATCCCCTCTCCTTTGCCCCAGAGAAAAGGAATAGGGTATGTCAACAATCCTGTTCAACTCTGGTCTGTTTACAAAGAAATTTTACAATCCTGATGTGATGTGAATAGGCTTAATATGGCATCTGCTTCACAGGCCCTTTGTTTCTCCCTTCACCCACTGTTTCTTTCAGATGAGTTTGCTATTGAGGAATACATTGCTCCTTGCAGCACAGGTAAGAGTCATAACATTATGGCACATCATGATGCCCCCATTAACTTCGATCTTTACATATTCTTCCAAATTTAAAATTCTCCCCCAAGTCTTATCACAGATCTGAGACAATTCATGTGGCACATTCTCACACAGAGGAAACTTTGGAGAACAGCACTTAACTCTGCACATGGATTGTCCAATTTGAGATATCACTCTGTTATCAGATTTGTGTTTCTAAGCAACTATCATAGGCAGCATTTCACAGCAAAGTTAACTGAGTTTCCATCAGTGCAAAAGTTGACTAACTACAATTTCCCAATTAAATATAGCCCAACACCTTTCTGGGTGAGTGAAGTTTTCTTGAAAGAGAACTGTATCTACTATTATTGTCCATAGATGTTTTCATGAAAAGAGCAGTTTTACCTACACATAGACTGTATCATCTGCACAGCCTAAAATATTTACTTCTTGGCCTTTCACAGGGAGAAATTTGCATTCCCCTGCAATTACCTACTCTGCTATAGCCCAGGAAACCCCACAACCTCCTTACATTTAATTTCTCTTCTCTCCACAGACACAAAACATGGAAATGCCTAAGGACCATTTATAGGCTATCGATTTTTCTGGATTCCATTTTCTGTTTCTATTTAAGAAGTAATGGAGTTGTAAATCCTAGAAAACAGACACCCAAAAGGCCGGCTGAATAAATTACATATTTCTAATCAAACTATCCTTTGTTCTGTCATTTATTCATCAAACATTAATTGCATCAGTAACTGGGTGACAAAGGCAGTAAGTTTACCTCTCTGCTTTACCTTTCTCACAGGGAAAGGGGAATAAAATAGACTCTTCCTCTAAGTATTGGTAGATAGATATACTATTCTCACATAGAAGAGGCGACAGAGAAGTAGCTGAATATGGCATTTCAGCTTGGGCTTGGATGATGTGTGCGCCACTACCATTTATATTCTGTTGGCTAAAGTCAGTCATGTGACAAACTGCTTCACTTTATTTTTCTGCATTTCCTTGGCTATGTCTCTATTTTTCCCTGTGAACTTTAAAATCACTTTCTGTTTCAAAAAAATAGTTGAATATTTTACTAGATTCTCATCAAATGTGTACATTGAAAGAGTTGTCAAATATTTTTTAACTTGGCCTTTCAGCCAAGAACAGGGCATACATTGTTTTATTTTTTATTTTCTGTTTTTTCAGACTTCTTGTGTGTGTTTCAGTGATGATTTAGTTTTCCATATAAGATACAAATTTCCTATATTTTTCTAGGCATTTCATGTATTTTTACTAAAATATGTATATGGTATTATTATTATTATATTAGTAGTAGTAATTATTTACAACTACATAAATTATTATTTTTTAAAGATTTATTTATTTATTCATACAGAACTGGGGTACAGGCCAGAGATGTGTAGGGTGGGAGAGCCACCAGAGACAGAGACAGAGTGGGGAGCAGAACAGGCAGACCGTCGAAGTACACTGCTGAGGGGAACAGCGGGCGGGTCAGGAGAGGTCTGCCACACCATGTGGTCACCTCCAGGGCAGGCGGGGATCGAACTCGTGCAGAAGTGGCTTAAGCTTCTTAGTGCTGTGCTTTAACCCGCTGCGCCACCAGGGAGGGCCTACATAAATTATTACTAAGAAAAATATTATTTCATGTTGTTGAGTGTATAATAGTTTGGCATTTTTTCATTACTTAATAGATCCCATTATATGTACAAGGTCAGTTTACTTTCTCAAACTATGATTGATGGCTATTTGGGTTAGTTTTGTTGTTGCTGTTTATTTGGTCTTACAAATAATTTTGCTACAAACATTCTTATCTACACATTTCTCCTGAGAATTGTTATGTCCATATATGTATCTTCACTAACACTCCCAAGAGTTTTGCAGAATGGCTGCACCAATTTGGACCAGCGCATCATGAGTCTCACTGACAAAAGGTCTGCTGCCAAGAGACAGAGGCATGGAGAAGAAGCTTCCTGAGTGACTCAAGTAACAGCACCTGCTGACAGCAAGGGTGGCAGGGGGTAGGGAGGAATTGCAGCCCGTGAGGGCAAAGCTTAGCTGGACTTCATCAAAATTGACTCTTTATTCATCTAGATATCATCTGATGATATACCAGGAAAGCTTTTTATAATGTACATATATGACAAAATGTACATTTAGAATATACAGACTCACTAGTAAAGGTGAAATTTAATTAAATAGGTAAAAATACCTTTAATGGACTCTTCACAAGAAAACAGTAAAATGAGCATTAAATATATAAGAATGTGCTCCATATTATTAGGAGTATTTAAGTTAAATTATAATGAAATATCAATATATACTTGGAAAAATTTCAACAACTATGTACTAGTGTTGATAAGGATGTGGAGCCGCATAATCTACCACGCTGCTGGTCACACAGCAAGTTGGTGCAGCCATTCTGTAAAACTCTAGGGAGTGTTAGTGAAGATACATATATGGACATAACAATTCTCAAGAGAAAATGTGGACCAAGATTCACCAAAAAACTAAGAATGTTTGTAGCAAAATTATTTATAAGACCAAATAAACAACAACAAAATCAACCCAAATGTCCATCAATCATAGATTGAGAAATTAAACTATGTTCATATAATGGAATATATCAAGCAATGAAAAAATTTCAAACTACTACTTCACACTCAACAACATGGAAGAGTTTGATGTGGTAAATTTCTTGTACTAAATACAACGTTATCTTGAGAACACTTATATATACTCTTATATCTGTCTGGTTATATAAAAGGGTGAGATTTCTTACGTCTTTGTAATCTTTTTAGTGGAATATCTCTGATGGTATTCCACTAGATGGTTTAATGCTTACTCAAAAATATTTTCCACTTTTAAGGCCTCTTAAACCTAGCTTTTAAGAGTTACTTCCATTATTTATCCTTTCTCCACAGTAAGTCATAGGACAAATCCAGATTCCAGGGGAAGGAACTACATAAAGCTACAAATACTAAAAGGTGTGGTTTAGTAAGGAACAATATTTGGCAATTAACTGTCATAATCTTCTACAGGGCACTGACATGCATCTCTCTTACATGAAAAAAGCACTCATCCATCCTCTCTGCCAGTATTTGCTGTCTCCTCATATTATGACACAAATTTCAGGCCTGAACCTATGGCTCTTGTCACCTAGACTAGGTTCTAGGACACATGAGGTTCCTTAAAGTCATCTGCCTTGAGTGCCATTCCTCATGTGCAATTTCGGTGGGCTCCAACATAAGCTTCTGGACTGGGGCTGCTCACCAAAAAGAGCAAGTTATGACTAGAAGCTACTGTTGCCCAAGAATAATAACTCCCAATTCCTTATGTCAATGACCCATGCTGCTCTCCCCCTATAATTTTATCCTTTAGGCATGTATAATTCCTCACCCATTGGGCTGATTTGCAAGAAATTTAAAAATATGATGCATCAGCACTCAGATGATTCCCCTTCTCATTTCCATTCCTACTGCAAACTTCATCTATTTCCAGGATCCTTTAAATGGTTCACTGGGTAAAGAAAAGGCAAATAATGAACATATATTTGAGTCAGATCCAACTTAATTCAATTGCTGTCCTCTTTATACAGGATTCTCAGACTACACAACATTTTATGAAAGAATTTTGTCCATTCACATTTTATTTTTATACATGCATGGTAGTTTAAACATCTCAGAGACTTCTCCATATAACACATTGTATGTAAACTGTTCTAGAGGAAAAGCCAAAAAAGCAGAATGAGAAACCAATCTCCTTGGCTTTCATGTAGACCAGAATCAAAAGGCACAGTGTTTCACAATGGAAAACTTGGAAGAAATCTTTAAAGATTATCTAAATGATCTGATTAGAATGTGAGAAGGAATTTTGTAAAAACAAGAGGTTTCTCAATCACAGGATTAGATGGACAACAGGAAGGAGGACTGGACAGAAGGTCAGCCAGCAGGCTAAGAAATTCTTTCACCAATCTAGACCACTTGTTTATTTAATTTCCAAAGAGAAAGAAATAAGATATCCTAGAACCTTCCCCCAAATAATGCACATATTACTACTAGCGTTATAACCCCTTTCTCATAAGGTCAAGAACAGCTGATTCATTTTTACATAAGGAATTAGCACCTTTTCTCAATATTTCACTGTTGCCAGAAGAAAAAAATTAAATCTTTTAATGCTTATGGTCTTTGTTGAATCCTGGGATTAAAATTCCAGGCTGCCAGGAACATATTACTGTTGCACAAGCAAAAAGAATGCATGTGTGGGAAAGGAGTGACACTATCAAATGGGGAACAAAGAAGAAAATGGGAGCACTGTAAATTTACTCATTGTTGTATAAGAAAATCATAGACTGGAAGTTTCACACCAGAAATCTCCACATGTTTATTTAAAAATATAAGATTATTGCAATATATATGTGAAAACAGTAGCCTTTTCATTCCCCTCCCTTTAGCTTTTTCCTTCCTTTTTCCCCCTAAGAAAAATTTACATGAACATTTTCAGCTGAAACTGTATGTGCTAATTTTTTCTCCCAAAAATAAGTGATTTTTTTAATATTTGTTTTCCCAGCTTCCTTTCCTGACCAGTGTGGAAAGATAAACTGAAATAGGAAAAAAAGTGAACTGTGAAGATCCTGATTCCCTGGTATTTTTTCCCTTTCATTTTCATAGTGACACCCTCATGTACTTTCTGCTTTAAGACCTGTCAAGATGAAAGGCAAGAGTTGCTTAAAGAGAACTTCGTGAAAAAAAGCTCTGGCTTCCTGACAAAATGATTCTACGTGATTCTGAGGAAGTGGAAAAGAAGTCCTTTGCAAGAAAGTGAGAGCAGAAGCCCAGCTGGGCAGGAATATCCAAAGCCAGGTTTATAGAACCCAGAATAGTAGTTACCTGTGGTCCCCTGCAATATTGCATTTAGGAGAAAAGAGAGATCCTCTAAAAAGAAATTTGTGTGAGGCAAATCCTGGGGATCACAAAGCTCCGGTCTTGGCAAACATTCTTGTGTCCAAATACAACACAGAAGCAGCCCTGTGACCCAGGCTACAAAGTGGCTAAGGAGCTGGACAAGGACATGGTCAGATCAGGGGTACCCAATTTGAGGCAAGAACTATAACTTCCACAGATACCCTGTTTTACAAACTTCAGCACCATTAAAGTTCTAGTACAAAGATTAACTCTCACCAGGAGATTTAGAAGAATGAAGGCAGACAGACTTTTTCATTCTAAAGAAAATAATGTTATTTGTGGTTCCAAATCCATACCTGCCACAGCAATGTCTTCTTTAAAAACTATGCTACCACTTCTATTTGCTTGCCCCTGAGAGATGAAATTTCTTCTCTCACTCACAATCATTGTGAAACCACTGTGACTAATTCAGAGCCTGGCATAAAGTTGTCCCTTCCTCCCTCTTCTTTCTTTCTCATATTTATTTTTATTGACATATGATTGACATTGAAAAACCTATACCTATCAAAACCTATCTAATGCACACATTTTAATGAATTTGAGGTAAGCACATATCCATGAAATCATCAGCATATACAATGTCATAACTTAATCATCACCTCTAAAAGT